TAAAAATTAATATTTAATTTATTAATTATTCAATTATAACCATCCATGTATTGATATTAAAATAAATGTTAATTTTTATATTTTTTATATAAATTTATAAATTAAAAAGTGCATTTATTTTATTACTAACATGTTTTTTAAAGTACAAATTAAAAATATCCTTTGTAAATACATCCTCATACACCTTAAGATTTAAATTATGAACAGTAAAAAAATCCCATTCCTCCTTCTATATTGACTAAAACTAGTTGAAATAATTATATATAGACTGGTTGTTGAGTTATTTTCTCTTCTTTTTTTAACCTTTTTTTTATTTTATGATGTCCTCATAATCTATTTTCTTTTTTTAGGTCACTTTCTTCAATGTACATATTTGAGAAAGTCACTTTCCTAGATATTAATAATGAGAGATTAGGTAATAATTTGGTTGCACTGATACACATATATTTTTCCAAGCACGTGTTCAAGCTAAAAGTTAATTAGATTCCATTAACATTTAACAATGTTGAATATTTTAAATATTAAATTCTAAATCCTTGAAGAGACAATATAATTCATTGTGGCAGATGATGCAGAGTATATTTTACCTTGAAAAGAGAAGTCACATCAAAGATGTTGATTAAGTTTTTTGTTGAATAAGTATTTTTTTTAACAGTTTTATATTTAGAAATGAAAAATTTTGAATTTTAATTTTTAAGTTGAAGGGTGTATTTTTTAACTCGACTTATAATTATTAAGACGTAAGATTCAGATGTAAATATATTGGGTAGTTTGTGCAAATATAAAGAAGGGATCTTTATGTCTAAACACACCTATGTAAATGAAAACGAATCTTATTTCCAAAATGATGTGTATTTTTCGTACTTTATCTCGGATATATATTTTCTTAAACACCATAGTCTTTTTTTGGTCTATTCAAATTAGGTTGTAGGAAATCTATCAAAGTTTGACAATTTGCAAAGGAACTTTGAGTTTTGAAAAATTAAAAAGAGAGCATGCGTGGACTATGAATTTGGAAATGTATATATAATCCTAGTTTCCTAAAATATTTGGTAAAAGCAAAGAAAGAGCCTCTCCACCATATGTTCCATTTGCATTAGTTGAGAGACAAATTAAAATATTTATATTTAGATTAACATGTCATTTAGTACACAAAATAATATTAAACTAAAGCTTTAATCCTTATATGTTAAATATTCTCGAAGTAATAATATGCAGATAATCTATTTTTACAGTTTTTTTTATAATTTTTACATACTATTAAATAATTATAATCAATTTTCATATTTGTATATACATGATAAATCAATGATTAATTTTCAACAACTTAATTAGTTAAAGTGTTAGATTAATTTCAAATTAACCTACTTGGTTTTGAAATCTATATGCTTCAACATACAAGGATATTTATTTTTATAATAAGTAGGTGAACCCCAAGTTTTCTTTGTGGGTTTTTTTTTTTTTTTTCTCTTTTCCTTAAAGAATGCAGAGTCAGATGTATGAGAAAATGGGAATTAAGAAAGTAGGTGACCTGGTGAATATGGTAGTGTTGATTGAATTGAAGACACAGAAGAGAAAGAAAAAAAGCGGCATTGACTTTGTTCAACTTAAATTACGTGCCGTCGAGGCTTGGGTACGTATTCGCGTAACTATCACTCATACGGGCCAGAATGCCCACCAGTCCACCACCCAATGAATAAATACTC